TGGAAAGACCTTTTTGGTTGCTAATCACCATTTACAAAATCATAAGTAACACCTGTATAGTGATCATGGCATTTACTTTGTATGATTTACAATTACTTATAGCCATCTACTTGTTATCCTGTGCTTTGGTTACATTCTGATGGCATTATTAATACATTAGACGTGACAAAATACCTCCATAGCGATAAAGAGTATCTTGTACAGGGGCCTGTAGAAAGATCAAAGTGCCGCACTCATATAAATACTGGTGGTACATCACAGTTCCCTCACTCTTCTTTTGAGTCGGCAGTTCAGTCATCCGCAGGCTGCATTGCTCACATCTGTGAGCAGGGCCTGGACGAAAACCTTGTACTTCAGTGTGAGATCACCTGGGATGGCAGAGGAGGTAGACTCTGGGAGCAGCTGCTTCCAGCTCTGCGTTCTCTCAGGGCCAAAGCTACAGCTCCTGACATCCTGATTATCCACCTGGGTGGGAACAGTTTGTGTCGGGAGGGCTGCGACCGCCTGGATTTCCTTCGGGAAATAAAGCGTGACCTGGCTAAATGCTTCAGAATGTTCCAGGCTTGTGTTTTCTCACATTCTGCCCCGTCTGAGTTGGAGAGGTCAGACTGGCTACGGCGTGGAGCGGAGCCGACGGTGGATCAACGGGGCGGTGTCTGGCTTTTTGGCAGGGAGACAGATGCGCTGCATTCGCCACAGAAACATCGGCTTCTCCCATCTATGCAGAGACGGAGTCCACCTGAGACCAGAGGGAAACCAGCTTCTGCTGAACCTCAGAGAAGATCTGCAGGAGGAACTCCGAAGTTGAAGCAACCAAATGTCCTTTTAAAGGCAACAACGGCTCTTTTTAGAGCCACCCACTCATTTAAATAAAGAGCATTTTAACAAGTGTGTCAAATCCTTTGTTATTCACATTATTTGAGATCAGGTATCGGATACTTGTTATACAATTAAATTTAGATTCCTTTATGAGTATTTCAATATGATTTTAAATCATTCAAGCGTGAGACGACTCGCACACACACCCAAAGTGCACTCACAAAAAAATGTGATTTTAAACCATTTCAAGCGCGAAACGACTCGTGCGCCGTTTTTCTGTGCTGCCCTCACATCCAATACGTGCATACAGGAAAAAAAGTGATTTTAATGTGATTTTAAACCATTCAAGCACGAGACAACTTGCACGCAGTTTTCAGTGCTGCAGGCATGTGTTAACTATTTTGACCCGTGCAACTCTTAAAGTGACAGACACGTTTCTTACAAATAATTTGCGAAAATTATGTTATGCTTGATATATGTCATCATTAACTGATAAACATATTCGGTGTTGATGTGTTGCTCAGTATTAAGTTATAGCTTGAGCTGCATTATCTTTTAATTTGCCACCAGCTGGATACACAAGCACGCACAGATGGTTGTCATGGTAACGAACACCATATCAACCTCTTGCGCGTCCGTGCTGAACTTCCGCTGCTTTACAAATTTAAATATTTCTCACAAATATAAGAACATTAGTTAAAAAATAAAACAAGTATTGCACTTTTTTTCACAGTATAACTTTCTAATGATTCAAGAAAAAGCTTGATACACGGTCGCTAGCATCTTGCACTGCTCCTGACTACCTTAACGTTAGTTTACCTGGCCGTCTCGTCGTCTTCATTTGTTGTTTTGAGGAAAAATGTGCTCAGCTTTAGAACATTTGGCCACGTCAGTTTCTAAAGCTTTCTCTTTTTTTATTCTGGCCTTTTCAGCGCCGCCTTTGCACTTTCTGCTAACCATTTTTATCTGACGTTTTTTATTTTATTTTGAGCAACTTGCAAGGTGCCGCTGTCGGGGGCGGTGCCAGGGAGTCAAAAGATAATCATGTCATCATTAACCTGAAGGCTGCACTCTGAGAGTGGGGCTGCGAGAAAATATTAAATAAAAAAAGAGTGGGACTGCGGTAAAATAATAAATAAAAAGAGTGGGGCTGCTGTGAGTGCAGGAAGCCTAGGTGCTCCCGATTAGTCAATCAAGGGCCTGTCTTAAAGTGACAGACACATTGTTTCTTACAAATAATTTGCTTTGCCAAATATCACAAACAATGATATGAAATCTTGTTATGACTTTATAATACATAAATAAAAATATAACTTAGTTGAAATATATCAATATAAAATATCCGCATGGAACAATGTGATAATCAGCCGACATTGGCCCAACATTTGTGAGATCATATCTTTGGATCAGAAGGTCAGAGAGACTTGTGGTTGGGCTCTTTTGATTCGGCTTATCAAGCAGTGGCATAACAACTTCATAGCCACACCCTTGCAACCATTAAACAACATTTACAAGCCATATTTCAGCCCCAGAAAATTTGTGTAAAATTGAGGTTGGGGTTTTTTGACTCAGACTGTCAAAAAGTCTTTAAATATCATCCCATAAACTGTATAATCAACCCATAAAACCATGCTTTTACCATGTTGCTGATGACTGATACTGTAGACCTATTGCTGTGATCTGTTTCAGGCTTAACATATCATAACATTTAAAAAATTATTTATTCTAATAACATTTTAGGAACGGCATTCTAATATCAAAGAGAACACTACATTTACATTTATCTACATTTTTTTATAAATATTTGTATGATATTCATATTATTGGAGCATATTGAAGAGTGTTAATGCACTTGCTGTAAGACATGGAGGCGCCAGCCCGATCACTTGCATTTTTTCCTGATAACGAAACAACTTTAAATTCTCCGTCATTTTTGGTCATACAAAAATGGTCAGAGTAATAGATCATTAAAAACAGTAAATAGTTTACTTTTATTTCTGTTAATTCAAAATAACAACAATATGTTGTGCTTTTGTAAAATTAAGAAAACAATCAGGATATGCTTCCTGCCGTCACAGTCTCTGTGAACTGGAGCGTGTCACAAATGTGAACCGAAACTCAGCGTATGCTTGCCTCACAGACATGAGAAATGTCTATAGACAGCTTGAAATGTCTACTTTTAAACAAACCAATTCATATCGAAATCATGTAATTCCTGATTATGTAATCCATATATGAAAGTTGCATTTCTCTCTAAAGGCGCATCCACTTTAAGTCAGCATCAACTTCATCTTTGCAGCGCTGAATAAATTTGTGCCTAAAGGCTCATTATGGTTTACTATATTAATGTAATAGGCCAAACGTGATTAGTCAACTAATAGCTTAAATGAATGACTACTAGTCAACAAGAAAAATCTTTAGTGGGGGGCAGCTCTATTAAATACTCACTAAGGTCTCTGTTAAAGTTTTTAAAACATTTTATACGCATTTCCATAGTCTGATAAATTCCGCTTTCAGAACTGTCACGTCCGTGAAACACTGATTTTTCTTCCGAAAAAAGAAAGTTATGTTTTGTGATGAGCCAACCCTTTTCCATTCGGTAGATATAGTTGCTTCTGGTTTGTACATTGTAATTTACAGAAAGTCTACAAAATATGTTGTCTCCCAAAAACATGTCTTTTTTTTGTCACTTCCGTAACACATGTATTTCCCTCATCTAAAACATAAAACACATTTATAGACCGATATTTTTCTGATGTCTGGACTTTTCAGGGGCTTAGAAAAATATAAACAGATGATTCAATATATAGGTAATGACATTCTATGAGAATTTATATTTCAAGTTTTAACTGAAAATGTCTCGTCTATAACGCTGGAATTCCTCAAACCCTTAATCAAAAACCCAGTTTGACCGAGGAGAAATGGTAAATTATAGAAAGACCTCATATCTGCATTTATATCTAAAATAGTAGAAAAATATTATCCTCTCACCTATGTTAATTTTTTCATAGAAACTGTATTTGTGAAAGATATCAGTCAGGATTTCAGCCTTGTTGTTTGTGTTTATTAAAGTTACAAACAAATAACCTAGATTTGGCATCTAATCATGGCTACATCTTTCTTTGATTACTATTAGGTCTTTCTGTGACAGACATTCACTTGGATAGCCTGAGATTTATGTTGAAATTTGTGGACAAGCATTAGCATGGTTTGTGGCCCATCTATCCGACTGCTACCACTGTTTGTGTGTAGATGAAGAGACATCTCATGAAACACAAGTATGGTGTGACACAGGGCTCAGTATTGGGTCCTCTGCTTTTCCCCTTGTACATGCCTCCCCTAAGAGTCATTATAATTAGATTTCACTACATTATCAATGATACTCAGATTTATATTTCCTCACAACCTGAAAAAAAAACTACACTGCTCTCAGCTGAAGTCAGCAGAGTGTATTAAAGATATCAAACTTGGGATGACTAGTCATTTTCTTGACCTATACTAACTGTAAGATACTTGAATAACAGGAGGAGACATCGTAACTTTTACTGAACTCAAAACAGCACAGATCAGACATATGCACTCTTAATGATTTCGGACAATCGTCAACCGAACCACAGGCTCTACTCGTCAGCACAATGGTGACCCCAAAAACTCAAGACATGCCAGAAAACCTTTTAAATTAAAAAAATATTAGAACATTAACAGATCTCCCCCTATATAAATTTTTTTTACATTTGCCCTCCTTTAACAGTCAGAAGCAAAGCATACTGGGAAGTAGAAATCTGTTATAACTCATTCCGTGAATGTGTGTGTGTGTGTGTGTGTGAGAGAGAGAGAGAGAGAGAGAGAGAGCGAGCTTGCATTCACATGGGAACATGTGCAATATATGTACACAATAAAGGGTCAAACTTTGTGAATATTACATGTAATGCTATTTTTGTCATCATTTATAAACATTTTATATGTATTAATATATAGCCATACATGGTTTACCATATATGGAAACGTATTATGTAATATATCGCATTATATTTTGCGGTATATTTCTATACATTTTTGTTTCGTAAGGGTGTTGTATGTAAAAATTATTCTCACATAATACGAGCATGTTAAGGGGAAAAACAGATGCATGGTCCTTTTAAATGAAGTGGAAATCATGCAGCTTTGAGAATGAAACCAACCTGTTTGTTCCTCCGTATCTTCATGTTTCACACTGAATGTTTCTTCAATATTCATATCTTCACTCTCCTCTTTAATAAACAACATTGTTTGTTCCTCAGCATCTTCTTGTTTCATTCTTAATGTTTCTTCAATCTTCATTTCTTCTCTCTCCTCTTTAAGAAATGCCATCTTTATTATAGTGTCACACGGATCTCGGTCGCTGTGTTGCTTTTTCTGTGTTTAGACAATTTGTTAAGTTTAAGATGAGAATAATTAACAGGAAGAAACATACATAAATAAAAATTAAAAATAAAACAATCTCAATCCGCTCTAGTTCAGTAGTTCAGTGTTAAGAGAGTCAGTCAGAGTGAGAGTTAATGGACTTAAATTTCCCAATCAGCCAAAAACTTTCTAAACTAACACTACAAATTAATAAAATAACACAAATTATATATACATTTCATATTTGTTTATTTCATTTGTAGATCACTTAAAAGATTCCACTTTAAAGAAAACATTAGCAGTTGGTTCGTCAGTTGTCTTTACACATGTTTGTGTTTGCGTTGCATTTACACTGTTTTGAACAGCATGTGTCGTCAGTGTGCGGTGATTCGAATCACTGAATTAATTTGTTAATCATTGGTTCAGTTGAGTAGAAGAAAAGCTTCTCTAATAATACTTCCCATTGACCGAAATTTTGTTTACAATAAACTCGTTCACGATATTGGGAGCGAAATGAGACGCACATTTTCTATAACTTGTGTAAGCTTTGCTGGCAGAAAAAAGCTCATTAATGTTACATAAAGCAGTATAATGTTAACGTTACATTTTGATGAATAATTCCTATAGCATCGGCATTATAATGTTACATTTAATGATGAATAATTCCTATAGCATCGCTGGTAAAAAAAAAAAAAACTAAATTATACAACTGATGGAACGGTTTATATCGAGTTAAATGATTAAAAATACAAACTTTTCTTCAGCTGAACCACAACAGATGCACGAGCGGGGCGCGGCCATATGACGTCACCAGACAACAACAAAATAAAAGCCCGAATGATAAAAGTGCACGAATGATAAAAGTGCATAGAATATATAGTAAAATAGATGTCAGAGTAATTCAGTTGAATTCTTTGTGAAATATTAACTGCTATTGAAAGAGTGTGAGATTTTGTCTGAAAGAGTGTGATATTTTGTCTTAAAGGTAAAACTGTTTAGGGTAAAAAAAAAGCATTTTTACCAGATATCCTTGTATTATAATGCAAATAGTGACAAATGTGATAAAACACACTTGATAAAAGAGTGTATGAGTTCATACATAACACGTCAGTATTGAAACGTAAAAGTCAGTGTGTGTTTTTTCTAATATTAAAATGTGGAAAGTTATATTAAAGCTCAGTTGATTCTAAAAATACCTGAACATTTGTATAAAATGACTAAAAATAATTCATTGAAATTTATTGAAAAGATTTCTGGTACAGGATAATACAATCCTCTATTCCAGACTCTAAAAGACACACACACATATATATATATATACAAATTCACATTTTGATTTTATAAAAAACACATTAATTTCATAATTTAAGTTTTCCTACACATCCTAAATAAATTACATAAAATTAATTACATTAGTTACAGGCAAACTTAATAATTATACCTAACACCTTTTGACAGGCAAAATGCATCCAGCCTGTTCTTAAAGGAATTAATAGAAGGGGAACACACAACCTCTTCTGGAAGCTCATTCCATGATTTTACCACACGGAGTGTAAAAAAGTTCTTTCTCTTTTCGGACATGCATGTTCTAGGGTAAAGTTTTAACGAATTCCCTCGTGTCTCGTACCTGTTTTTCCAGAACTGAAAGATAGGTTCAACTGTTACATCGAATATTCCCTGTACCAGTTTATACACTTGAATCGTATCTCCTCTATATCTCCTAAATTTAAGAGTCGGCAAACATAATTTCCTCAATCTATCTTCCAAGAATCAGTAGAAGACAAATAAAAGAAGCAGCAAGAAAAATGTCAAGAATAAATGTGATTCATAAAATACCAGAAAGTACTGATAGAAAAGTTAAGTCTAATTTTTAAAAGGAGAAGAATTTCAAAGAATTTGAATGAAATCAATAAGTCTTTAATGTCATTTATGGGAGTTGATGCCTATGTAGAGTGATTCAAATCACTGGCTACATTATGATGATATGTAGGGCGTATAAGGTCGTATAAACAGCTTAACTTTAACAAAACAAAAGAGTGACATTCAACATAGATAAAAACAACAACAAAAAAACCAGTGTGATCCATACAAGACCAACACAAGACAAGGCTACACCCAGACTGCAGGTAAATGTGGCCTAAATCCGTTTTTTGCTCACATGACTCAGATCTGGGGTTTTTCATGACAGTGTGAACAGCACAAACCACATGGAATCTGATCTTTTCAATTCCGATTTATGCCACTTCCATCCATGGTCCTAAATTCGATACAGGTCAGATGTTTTACAGTGCGACCGCAGTCCGAACGGTCATATCGGAATTCATTCGACTTTCCCGTCGTTCTAGAGCAACAATTCTGTGCTCATGGGAGTCACTTCAAAAGTTTTACATACCCGACGTTATAAGGACAGCTGTGAATGGAACTCAGTGAAGGACAGTAATGTGTCAGAAATCATAAGTATTACAGTAACAGCTCTATATACAAGCAAAACGCGTATCATAAATGTTTAACAACTCTGCTCTCTTTTTCTGCATCCTCACCTTTGTCTTTTTTATATTGCCTGCGTATAAATTTACTGGCTTCCGCAACAGATCACATATAAATAAACGCGTAGTCACTTACTTTAATGTTCTCCGTGTTTACTTCCGTATGGAAGATGCTACACTGCACTCAAAAAAAATGCTAGGTTATTTCTGTAAACAAATTGTTGGGTTGATTGTGCTGGGTCCAAATATTGGGTTGTTTGGGGTACTGTAAACACATTATTGGGTTGCTCATGCTGGGTCAAATGAGTTGTAAGGGGGTCATTCACAAATAAACAGCTGGTTGGGTTATTTGACCCAGCAACTGGTTTATTACCTTTTCATTCTTCGCGGAACTTTCTGGATTCTTCACTTCTGACTCGAGGAGCACGTCACTCGGAGCGGGCAGTGTTTTGTGGTAAATTAATATGAATGTTTACCCATATTTTTAACAAGTTGTGGTAACAGCAGCGTGCTAATTACACTGTTCAACATACAGTCTTTGATATGGAAGTGTGAGGGGTAACGTATTTATTCTGTTAAACATTAAATAGACACAGCTAACGTTAGCTGGTTAGATTGTTTTACAAAATGCCGTATCGTTAAATCTTTAGTTTAGCCTTTTTGAATTATGCAGTTAAAATTGTAAATTAATCATGTAATTATCATATGCTCATTGGACGTTGCTTATTTAAAAGTGAGGAAAGTGAGTTTCTGCATGATGTCTTATGATCACTTTACAACTGATGCTTCAAGGCTTTGATTGTGTCAGGGTTCTGTCACTTCTGTCTGGTTTTATCTTAGTTGGTGACAGAGCTCTGACATTCCCGGTTTGTCATGTCATGTTGTTTGTCAAAATTACTTCAGAAAATACATTTTCCAGTCAGAATCCCTTCTCTGAGACCAAATCCTGTCAGAATATATTTTATTATACTGTCATTTCATCGTTACTTCATGAAAATCATGAATTTAATTAGAAAAATTTATTTTCTGAAGTAATTTATTCACTTATTTCAGTCAGCGTTATGAATGAGCAGTAAGTTAGTCCCTCACAGGGCTCGCACGTAAAAATCAGCGGGAAAGTCTTGGCTAATGTAACGTTAGCTAGTGAGTTGTGTGTGGAAAGGCTGCTGTATTTTAGAAATACTCGTCAGAAAAAGCGACTGAGGTAGGTAAGTTCCAGCACAGCCTGCGTGTGTCTTCTGTAATGTCTTTGTCGGAACCAGGATCGTTTTTGCCAACAAAAAAAAAGGCTTTCAAGAGCTTGATAGTTTTTTTTTTAGTTCCGTTAAATGTATGTCGTGCAATCTGTACAATCAGCGACAGAGGAAAGGAGAAATAAATCGATGTCATGTTAAGCATTTTCTCGCTCTGAAAACAAATTACAAGTTGTTAGGACTTGAGGTGCAAAGACTATAAGTTAGTATTAAGACAGTGGTCACGGGCCAAGTGTGCGTGAAGAATTTGAGGCCAAATAATCTTTTTTGCTATATTCACAACAGCGCCATCTTTGCCATCACAAGTGAGGGGTAACGTTAGACAGATGCATCTCTAAAAGCAGGTTGTACTGCTATTTACTGTGTTTTTGAATTGTTCTGCTGAAACACTGCAGAAATATCTTTCCGAGAAATTTCAGTAAAACTCCCCAGTCGATATGAGCTGTGGAAAAATAGATCTAGGAGTTATATACAGCTTTTTAATGCGGAGGCCATTAAAACAGGGTTTATCCTTCACAGCATCGTTGTTGTTTTTTTGTTTTGTGGCATTTTTGCCTTTTATTAAGATAGGACAGTAGCTAGACCGGAAGGGAGGTGGGAGAGAGAGAGGCGGGACGGGACGGGATCTGGAAAGGTCCACGAGCCGGGACTCGAACTCGGGTCGCCCGAAGCACAACGGCGCTACATGCACTTGCCCACGAGGCTATCAGCGCCCACAGCCTCGCTTTTATACCTGTCATGGCTCTGAATAAAGTCTATAAGCTAACAGATGACACCGATTTAAAAACGGATATGACCGGGGGGATAACGATAACGATGTAGTAAAAGCAGACATCAACGTTTTAAAAACGATAATGACTTAAAAGGCTGTATTATGCATGCTAGGTCAGTATTTGGCGATGTCACTTTGTCAAGAAACACACGTAATAAGCATACACATGATGTCACCGTTTTCATAAATTCAGGTTTTTGTTGTTGACATGGAGAGAGACAGTACTGAGTATTTAGGCATGCATTTCTTGCACTTTGAAATACGTTTTCAAAAGCTTGAGCTTAAACTCAAAATGTCAGGACCCAAAATCACCGTTGTCGTGTAAATGAATGGGCAAAACTCATAAAAAGTTTTCCATTTTCAGTTGAAAACGGTGTTGTGCAAGTTACTTACAGAATTTGATAGCTGGTGTCAAAATATTGTATAAAAACATGTCCTTGTAAAAATTCAGCACAGTTATGTGAAATTCTAATTTACTTTCAAATTTTATTTTAGTGACTGCTGCCACTCATGGACACGTTTGC